GGATAGGGGCATCACCTAGCCAGGCCAAGCCAGGGAGAAGGGCATCACCTAGCCAGGCCAAATCCCGGAAAGAGGAAGGCAAGATCCTGGCACCCAAGGCTGATTGTACCCAGATGCTGAGTACCAGGGGCTCAGACAATGGCAACCAGGAGTCACAGAAGAATTCTGGGGCAAAGCAACCAGAAAAGGAGTCCCTGCAACCCGATCAGCATTTGGACATCTACCAAAGCTCCCTGCAGCATTCCCAGCCTCCCTGGTCATCTATGCCCTTTAACATAGACACATTAGTGAAAATATATGGCTTGCCTGGGGGTGATGACCCTGTAAGCTTTGACAAGGATACCTACCCAGGGTGGCTTGCTTGAGGTGGAGAGTCTGGGATCACCTATAAGCGCATCCATGGCTTTGGAGAAAGACCTGAAAATCAAAGCTGAGTTTTTTCCACGGAGAGCGAACCAGAATGCTTCTCTCAGGCTATTTCCCTGGCTTAGTTCCCAAACTGCCTGCCTGCATGACACCAAGCAATTCCCAGTTAAATGCTTTCTTTTATTAGAGTTGTCTTGGTCACAGTGTCTCTTCACAGCAATAAAACACTAAGGCACTTGGCTTCTATTTATTTTTCCTGTGCTAAGGCTTGAGTTCAGGGACTCTCGAATGCTAGACATGGTTCTACTGCTATGGAGAATCCCTCACTGGGGGGTCTAGACGGGGGCTCTGTCAGCATTTTGGAACACAGAGAATATCGGTTGTCCCCCTGCTTTTTCTTTTTAGTTTTTTAACATTGGTGTGTTGGCCAGCTCTACTATCAAAAGGTTAATTTTAAATTTGGTTTATGCTGTTCTGCTAAATTGTTGATTTTAAACTTATAGCTCAAGGGTTCATTATTATGTACAAGTTGTTTACCAATATTCTAAATTAAAATCTAATACATTTTTAAAAATATATTTATATTAAAACTGTGTCAATTTACTATATTTCTGCTATCAAAAGGTTAATGTAAGCTTGGTCTTATTCTCGATAGTATTATCTTATTATCTATAGTATAGCCTTAGACTATTACAAGCTATAAACTTATATATATTAAATCATACAAAAAATCTTGTGTTCTCACTTTAATAAATTATCTTCATGACTTTTAAGATTCTAACTTAGCAAGGACAAAACCTAAGGTCCTGGTTGATATTTACTGGTTAACAAATGCAGGTTAATAGTCATTTCATAAGATACAGATTTAGAGTCCTATAGATGCAAGCATGGTCTCACTGCAATTTTTAATAAACAGCTGAGGATGGTCATTGGATCACCATATAGGAGTTGGTAAAAGTAGTAAGAGCCATCCCGGCAGGCTCTAGACCTTAGGTGCATTCGGAAGCTGCTGGTGTTCCTACAAGTTTGCATAGCCAAAAGTCTGTTCTGCCAGGTGATGTGTTCAAATGCAGCCAAATGGATGCTGATCCTGCTGCTGACACGCCAAAGCTGGCTGCTGGAAAACTGGCCTCTGGAAGTCAAAATGCTCCCAAGCAGGCTTGTCCTCTGTGCCCAGCCATGGAGGTTCAACCAGCACAAGACCATAGACACTTCCAGCCTTCTAGCTCGTTGGCCTGGAGGACTGGAGGAGGACAGGTGGCTCCTTGACTTAGCAACCTCCACAGCTCTCGTACAGGACTGTTTTTGACCTCAGAATGAGGCCCACAGACATATTGCCAACTTCTGTGTTGGGAGACTTCAGGTGCCTTCCCGGCTCTCTGCAGGAGAACCAGGCCTTAAGCCTAAATCCTAGAGCTGCTATTTTCAGGCCTAGACACAGTCCAGACTCAAGAAACAGGCCTAAATGAAACCTTTCACCATCCCTTTAGCTAAAGGACAATAAATGTTCATAGCAGTTTCAACTATGTCTCATGGTAAATAACTAAATACAAAGGTCCCTCTCAAAAAACATATTTGAGAGATGTCTTAAGGTTAATAAATACAAGTTATACATGTTTGAGAGTCTAAAAATGTGTCTTAATGTTGGTAATGCAACTTATAAATGTTTGAGCGTTTAAAAAAATGTTTTAAGGTTGACAAATGCAAATTATAAAGGTTACAAGGTGTAAGGTGATTTAAGGTATCTTAAATAGGTAAAAAGGCTTAATATCCGTTGTATTGAGTGTCCAGAGTTTTGACCTTTATTAATAGGGCTCCAACTTATTAATCTAACTCTGATACAAAAACATTCCACTATACCACTATTCCACTATTATGGTCCTAAGCTCAAGATTGTAAGCCTCCATAATGTGTATGCTTATACTAAAAGTTAAGATCAAGTGAGTTTCTTTTACTTCATAAAAGGCTTTTGCCTTTTCAGAGCTCACCTTAAAAAACACTTATGCTATTAACACAAATGTATGTCTACTGCCTTTTCTACAATGTATATTTCAGTGCAGAGTACAATGGTGATACTAATATGTCTAAAGTTTTATCTCCTCAAAACGTAAAAGTAATTCTTGTAAGCTGCAGAAAGTCCACCTACATCTACCTCTCAGGTCAATTGGACTCCAGATAAGTACTGGACTAATTGCCTATCTCAAAAGGTGGGACTCCTCCCCTTTCCCTGGTTTTGGGACTTCCTTCCCTGGCTACCAGACTGCTATTTACTGCATGCAACCACTGGCTGGATTGGTGAGTTCTCCTTATTGACCAGCCACTAGATTGGTGAGTTCACTCCATTTTCTCAGCATAAATGCCTCTCTTGGTAGGGGAAGCTTGACCACAGAGCTCTGGCAACTTCCTACTATCTTTTGAGATGGAGGGACCCCCCCCCTCAGCCGTAGCCTTAACTGTCTAGGTTTGACCCTCCATGCTGACCTCCATTTTAGGGCCACACTCTCCCTTGGGCAGTACGCCCCCTCTCTATGGTTCCTTCCCCTTGCTTGCTCACTCATGGGGAGGTCCCCTCTCACACACAGTTCCTACTTTCCCCCTCTCTCTCGTGGGAAGGCCTAGCTAGGCAAACCGTATTCCAGCTGTGCCTCACTGGGCACCGTGCCCTGGTCCCTGGCCAAGAGCTGACGAGCTGTTGGACAGGTAGCGCCCCTCTTGCTCAGAGGGACGTCCCTTGGGACGCCACTGGAAGGTCTTGACTTCTCTGCCCCCAATGGGAGATGCCCAGACGCCCGCACTCCAATAGGATCTCCTCTGGAGAATTTTGTTTCTAACCTAGTGCCAGCTGGCACCAGGGAGGGCCTCTAAGTTTACATGCTTCTGTAACCAAACCTCACCTCAATGACAGATCAAAAACAAAGCCTTCTTTAAACATTGCTAGTGACTGGGTAAATAAAGGTCCCCCCAGGTAGACAGAGGTTCCCATGTACAAGCCTCATCGATCCAAACCTTTCGATGTATACTTACAAGATTTCCTCCCTACTCAACTTTATCTTTTGCCTATACATGTGTTTCAGTGTCCTGCCAGAAACAGATGTTTCCTATAGCCACAACAGTGCCAAAGCAGCTGCAGGTGTTCAGCTCTGACCTCACAGACTTCCAACAAGCTGGACCTGCACCTTCCCTCCCAGCCATGGATGTTCTCACAGACTCTGGAAAGCATCAAAACAGTCTATTCTTCCTGGACTTGGCCAACATTTCAGCCTTTTGACCTCCCTATAGCACCCCCAGTGTTAGCAGGAAGTATCCAGAAGAGAATCTAAGCCCGTTGTTCACTTCTCATTAACAAAAGGCTGAAGTGGTGTGCTTCAGGACCAGACAAGTGGCTGCTTCCAATGAGCCTAAATTTATATACTTTAACTTACCTTATAAAAAGCAGCCCAAGTTCCCCATTTTTTAATTATAGAAAAAGGGAGGAATGTTAGTATTTTGGAACACCACCTGCTTCTTAGTTACCCGGCAGCCTATGATGTCATCATGTGTCGCCAGCAAGCCAGGTGACCACACCTGGAAGGCGTGCCCCCTTAAAAGGTCTGATACCGACACGTGGTCCCTCTCTCAGTCTCTTCTCTCTCTCTCACTCTATCTTACACTCTTTCTCTCGGGGGACCCCATCCCCCCTTTCCCTCTCTCTTTCCCCACCATGCCCTGCTACCCACTTCCTCCATACCCCCCTAAAATCTCTCGCAGAGAATATTGGTTGTCCCCCTGCTTCTTCTTCTTTTTAGTTTTTAACAGGCTCCATCACTGAGCCATGCCCCCAGCCCCTGACTGGGGAATTCTAGAAAAGTCTTCTACCCCCTAAGCCACAACCCCAATACCCAGTCATTACTCCTGGAATGAGTTTGTTTCTGAGTGCTCTGGTACTTATAGCTTCTACCTGAGGGATTGCATTCTAATACTAAACATCCTAATCAGAAAGGGCATGGGTCCATGTGAGTCTCCCTAGGGCATGCAAGAAGAGCTGGATGAGCAAGCATTAGCAGCTCATGCTGAGAAGTGGCT